GCACTTTTTTTTATTCATCTAATCAAAGACCGGTTTCTGGTAGTATTGCGTAATGCTGTTGCATGTAAAGCTCAGTGTGTCATCGGGTGTGGTGTATAATCCAAAAGGCCTTGCCCAACCCCGACAGCATGTCTGCAAACAGAAGGAAGCGTTGCTGAGGTTGCTGCTTGCACTTCCTCTGTCTGTTGTTGCATGTGGAGTTTGGAAAAGCAGAGCGGCGTTGTTTTTGTTTTTTAAAGTCTAGTAATAAAATCACATAGGGGCGACACGGTGACTTACAGCAAGAAGGTCGCTGGTTCAAGCCTCAGCTGGGTCAGGTGGCATTTCTGTGTGGAGTTTGCACGTTCTCCCCATGTTGGCGTGGGTTTTCTTCGAGTTTTCCCCCATTCTAAAGACGTGCTGTAGGTGAATTGAATAAACTAAAATGTACATAGTGTATGTTTGTAAATGAGTGTGTATGGATGTTTCCCAGTGATGGGTTGCAGCTGGAAGGGCATCTGCTGCGTAAAACAAATTCTAGATAAGTTGGCGGTTCATTACACTGTGGCGATTCCTGATAAATAAAGGGACGAAGCTGAAGGAAAATGAATGAATTCAGTGGTGTAGCGGACGGGTCCGCAGGGCACGCACCGCGGGGGTGCCCTGCGTGATTAGGGGGCCCCGCATCGTCACGATTTTTAATAATTGTAAATCAGGCAACCGCAATAATCAAACTCTTGGGAACAACTGTGGTCGGAACCAAAGTTCACTGGTCTGTTCTCTGAACACCTCTCAAGCGCTGGACTACTTCATTCTGATTGCTTGCCGCCGAACCGCATCATAGCTCATACCACAAAGCCGCGCTGTTTCTCGCCGCCGGTTCTCTTTGAAAATGAATGACTTCTGGCTACTTTGACACTCTCGCCGCTTTCGGTTTGTGATCGCTCCTCAGTTTGTGAAGGCTTCCCCGCTCCTCAATTTGTGATTGCTTCCCCGCTCCTCAATTTGTGATTGCTTCCCCGCATTGTCGCTTCACCCCGCCTCCCTTCCCCGCTCCTCAATTTGTGATCCATTCCCCGTGTTGTCTCTCACCCAATTGCCCCTCCCTCATCATCAGGGGGCCCCATCAGTGATCCCTGCAGGGGGGCCTCTGCATTTCGCGCTACGCCACTGAATGAATGAATGAATGAAATCACATTTGAGAGCTCTTTAATAAAGGAATATTTGTTTTTGGGAACTTTTCATGGGGCAAAGATGAAACCTGTGTTTTTGGTGTCTGTATGAATAATGTTAAATGTGTGTGAGGTTTCTGCGTTGGTTAAAGTAGATGAAATGTCAAAATATGCACACGATAATGTTGCGTCATCATTCAGATATAGCTAAATGTAAAAATTAAATGGCGTTGTTCTGACCAGTACTGATTACAAAAAACTAATAAATGAAAGGGGCGAGGCAGTGGCGCAGTAGGTAGTGCTGTCGCCTCACAGCAAGAAGGTAGCTGGGTCGCTGGTTCGAGCCTCTGCTCAGTTGGCGTTTCTGTGTGGAGTTTGCTTGTTCTCCCTGCGTTTGCGTGGGTTTCCTCCGGGTGCTCCGGTTTCCCCCACAGTCCAAAGACATGCGGTACAGGTGAATTGAGTAGGCTAAATTGTCTATCGTGTATGAGTGTGTGTGTGAATGTGTGTGTGGATGTTTCCCAGAGATGGGTTGTGGCTGGAAGGGCATCCACTGTGTAAAAACTTGCTGGTTAAGCGATTCATTCTGCTGTGGCAACCCTGGATTAATAAAGGAACTAAGGCGATAAGAAAATGAATAATTAATAAATGAAATAAAAATAAAATTACTATAAAAGTGTTTTAAAATAAAATAAAAACTGATCACATTCAAATATTTGATATTTAGTGAAGTTTATTTATTAACTAATTTTGAGAGGAGCACCTGCTTATGATCGATAGCACCTGGTCCACATTAGCTAACACTGATTTACCAATCAGACGACTCCTTAAGCACTATAAATAACCAAAGTATCTTACCTCAGCCATCTTCGTCTCGAAGAATCCCCCCTGCCACCCCTACTCCTCCCATTTACTTGTCAGGGCAGCACAGAGGCCTAGTGGTTAGCACCACGGCCATATGGCAAGAATGTCACCGGCTCAGACACTACCTGGCCAAGTTGGCATTTATGTGCGGAGTTTGCATGTTCTCCTCCTGTTTGCGTTGGTTTTCACTGGGCTCTCCGGTTTCTTCCCACAGACCAAAAACATGTAACATAAGTAAATTGACAAATCTAAATTGACAGCATAGACACTTCATAGTGTTATGATCTACTTCCAACAATATCAAGCAGGGGAGTTCTCGAGACCTACCTGAACTCGGACTCCACTTGCCCTGCAATGGGGGGAGCCCCGGTCTCGAGGATCTCACAAGCTTAGGGCTCTCTCCTGGGACAGCATGCCAAACACGCTTCATAATCAATCATCAGCTAAGGGCGAACTCTTGAAAGATCAATTAAAATAACAACAAATAGTTCAAATCAATTGGTGTAAAGCATAAATGAATATAAACTATTTAAGATATCAATTTTGAAAGAAATAAAATGGCCAATCATCTTCCAATAATAATTTTTTTTTAATTTCTGTAAATATGTCAAAACCCAATTTCAGATTAGCAATGTGCGTTGACCGTGTGTAACTAACCTAGTACTGGGAAACACCCATACTCTCTCATTCACACTCATACACTATGGCCAATTTAGCTTATTTTCTTCACCAATGGTGTATGTGTTTAGACTGTGGGGGAAACCCACGCCAACACTGGGAGAACATTCAAACTCCACACAGAAATGCCAACTGACCCATTCGGGATTCAAACCAGCAACCTTCTTGCTGTAAGTGTTAACCACTCAGCCACAGTGCCACCTCTCAGATTTCTTCTTTTCAGATATTTGTTTTTTGGCCAAATATTGTCCTATCCTAAAAAATTCTTAACAATATCCTCAGTGTAAATCATATTTATCCATCTTTCAGAATGTATAATAATACACTTATAACAATAAATATACACGTATGGCTTATGGATTCATTTAACTACTGTCTTAAAGAAGTTACATTTTATTAATTGTCTCCTGGGTGGTTCATTCCGCTGTGGTGACCCCTGATTAATAAAGGGACCAAGCCGCAAAGAAAATTAATTTAAACCATGGTAATGACACTTTCTAATTTGCCGGAAGAAATAAACCTGTATTACTTGTTTTTATTATTATGTTGATGATTGAAAAAGTTTCATGACTAATGAAGCTGGAGCCACAGGAAGATGATGTAACCCAACACTTGTTGGCTAATGAATGACAAAACAGTCATTTACACACTGTCAAGCCTTTCCCTGCCCATGCTTTTAGCAGTTGAACAGTGTAAATACCACATCTGCCAGCAGAGGCTGTCTGGAGTGTGCTTAAAGGGATAGTTCAACCAAAAAAATAAATAAACATACTTGCTATTTACTCATCCAAGTGTTTCCAAACCTTTTCTGAGTTTTGTTTTTTCTTGATTGCAAATGATGATATTCTGAAGAACCCCTGACTTAGTAGTAAAAACAAACACAAATACTAAGTTAGTCAATAGTGTTCAACGAAGAAAAGAAACTCTGAAAGGTTTGAAACAAGGATTAAATAATGACAAACTTTTGGGTGAACCATCTCTCTAATGCAAACATGTCTGCTAAGTAAACGGCCCTGTAATGTTTAAAACAGGGGTGCTCAATCCTGTTCCTGGAGAGCTACCTTCCTGCAGATTTCAGTTGCAACCCTTATCAAACACGCCTGTCTGTAATTATCAAGGGGATTTCAGGTCCTAATTAATTGGTTCAGGTGGGTTTGATCAGGGTAGGAGCTAAACTGTACAGGAAGGTAGATCTCCAGGAACAGGATTGAGCAACCCTGGTTTAAAACAAGTAAAGGGTGAGTAAATGATGACAGAAATTTAGTTTTTTGGGTGATTTATCCTTTAAGGTAAGCGTGGCTTGAAAAGTAAAGCTCAGAACTCTTTGTAAGATACTAAGATTTACAATAACGACAACAATAATATTCAAAACTAATTTTGTAGTGCACTTCTAACTGCGACAAACAGCTCTTAAAGGTTTGAAACAAGTAAAGTTTGTTGGGTGAATATCCCTTCAGGGCTTGAAAAATCTAATGTGTCTACTAATTAGAGCTCAGGACTCTTTGTAAGAGAGTAAGATCTACAACAACAACAACAACAACAAAAATAATAATAATCAAAACTTCAATAAAACACCTCTGAATGGCTTAAAACAAGTAAAGGGTGAGTAAATGATGACAGAAATGTAGTTTTTTGGGTGATTTATTCTTTAACGTAAGCGTGGCTTGAAAAGTAAAGCTCAGAACTCTTTGTAAGATACTAAGATTTACAATAACGACAACAATAATATTCAAAACTAATTTTGTAGAGCTCTTCTAATTGCAACAAAGAGCTCTTAAAGGTTTGAAACAAGTGAAGTTTGTTGGGTGAATATCCCTTCAGGGCTTGAAAAATCTGATGTGTCTATTAATTAGAGCTCAGGACTCTAAGAGAGTAAGATCTACAACAACAACAAAATAATAATCAAAACTTTAATAAAACACATCTGAATGGCTTTAAACAAGTGAAGGTTGAGTAAATATTGACAAAAGGTTAATTTTTTGGTGTGTGAACTATCTCTTTAAGGCTCAAAAACAAACAACAAACAGCAAAAATAATAATAAAAACACATTATGTAGTGCTACACTTATTTTAAAGTACTACAGTTGTAGTTGCAACTCCTAACACAAGAAACCCAAAGTAAAACTACAATACTTATCATTTCCCATGTGGTTAAATGTGTTTGTTGGAGTACAAACTGCACTCACACGTGGTCTAATAGTAAACTCTTGCAGGCTCTCTTCTCTGTCAGAGCAAGGGAGGGGTTTGTCAGGGCAGAGGAGGAGCAGTTGTTGCTCAAATACTCCAGTCATGATAGCACCGGCTTGTAAAAGAGTCCTCCACAGCCACAGCTGCCTCGGTCTCCCGCCTCTTCAATGCGCACAGCAATGAATGCCCCTGGGGCGACTGCTGACGGAGACACCGAGACAGAGCCGCGAGGAAGGGGGTGGGCCAGGAAACAGACCCTCGGCTGAAGCCAGGACTCACTCATTTACTCACACTGAGTCTACACACAGGTGCCCCAATCTGTGGGAACAAAGAGAGCGGATACTATCTGGGAATGCTTCAAGTGCGACTTCTGCGGAGAGGATTGTAACAGGGACTTGCTCGCAATTTTGTGGATGGGATTGCTCAGGAAGGACTTGAAACTTTTGGAGTGAGTAACTTGCAAGACTTGCGGGGTGGCTGTTGGGGAAAGGGGGAGGGGAAGAGGTTGTCGGGCTCCAGTCTCATGGGAGAAATGCCTTCAACGTGAGGCTTTGTTGAAGAATGCCTCGGTTTTGAACAGAAGCAACACATTAAAGAGATCTACGAGTGCTTGAAGGCGAAAGCGCCTTGGAAGGGAGCTGGAAGTGATCTTTGTTTCTTGCATGCTTTTGTGCTGCTGAGGGAAATCCTTTTATTGTGCGCTCTCTCGCGTGTAACTGCCACCCCATAGCGTGCCTTTGTCTGTTGTTAAGATGTACAATACAAGTCTTGAGATGGAAATGCTCAATGTGAGCAACGTCACTCACTGCCCGAAGAATGACAACTTTAAATATCCCCTCTACAGCATGGTGTTTAGCATCGTCTTCATGGTAGGACTGATCACGAATGTTGCCGCCATGTACATCTTCATGTGTTCGTTAAAACTGCGGAATGAAACCACTACGTATATGATGAACCTAGTAGTGTCGGACTTGTTATTCGTGCTCACTCTACCCTTGAGGGTTTTTTACTTCGTCCAGCAGAACTGGCCGTTCGGCAGTCTCCTCTGCAAGCTTTCCGTTTCGCTCTTCTACACCAACATGTACGGGAGCATCCTATTCCTGACCTGCATAAGCGTGGACCGCTTTCTGGCCATCGTTTACCCCTTCCGATCTAGAGGACTCCGAACCAAACGCAATGCCAAAATTGTGTGCGCTGCAGTTTGGGTTCTCGTTCTTTCAGGAAGCCTTCCTACGGGATTCATGCTCAACAGTACTAATAAGCTGGAGAACAACAGCATCTCCTGCTTCGAGAACTTCTCCTCGAAGGAATGGAAGAGCCATCTTTCAAAAGTGGTGATTTTTATAGAGACGGTGGGGTTTCTGATCCCACTGATGCTCAATGTGGTTTGCTCTGCGATGGTGCTTCAGACTTTAAGGAGACCAAACACTGTGAGTCGAGGAGGGAAGCTCAACAAGAAGAAGATCTTGAGGATGATCATCGTCCACCTCTTCATCTTCTGCTTCTGCTTCATCCCGTACAACGTCAACCTTGTCTTCTACTCCCTCGTGCGAACAAACACCTTGAAAGGATGCGCGGCGGAGTCGGTAGTCCGGACCATCTATCCCATCGCTCTGTGCATCGCCGTGTCCAACTGCTGCTTCGATCCCATCGTCTACTATTTCACCTCGGAGACTATACAGAACTCCATTAAGAGGAAGACCCAGACCGGCCATTCCATAGATGTTAAATTTTCCGAGGCCTTGCAGTCGGAGACGTCGTCCACCCTACAGTTCAGCCTGAGGTCCATCAAGAACAAGATGTTTCACAATGAGTCCCACGTATGAGGGATTACCAGTGGATTTAAGGACACATAAAGCACTCTTTAGCATGTGGATATATATCGGGTTTGTTTAATATCTCTGAGGGCGATAAGTAAACGGTGGGCTCTTATAGGGATTTACCTCCCTGTAAAAGTCATCCTTCAGTCCAGAACCCTGGGACACACCTGTTCCCCTTGGAAATATGTCCAAACATTTGAAAAGCGCAGTAAGGATAATGCAAATATAGATCAGCTGGAAGTCTCTAACTGTTTGTGAATGTACTCACATTTCCAGAATTTGGTAAGTTAATGTGTAAATAACAAACTATATGATGTAACCACTATTTAATTAAACCCACAACAGAATAAAATGATGTTATTTTATGTATAAAAGCAGAATAAAACATTGACTGCCTGAAGTGTCATAGTATTAACAAGCTGAAAACTTCCGTTGGCACTTTATATAATGCTGTATATTAACTTTGCACTGGCATTTATACTGTCATAATGCACTGTTGTGATTCTGTTACAAACTTCACTTGAAAATAAAGTCTTAAAATCATAAATAGAGGGATTTATTATATTTTTGTATACTGTTATGAGTTCTCTTTTTGTAATGTACATCCAGAAAATACAAAATTACTGTTTATAACTTGACACTGAACCACAAAACCAGTCATAAGTGTTTATTATTGTTACTGTTATTGTTATTATTATTATTATTTATATTAATATTAATATTAATATTATTATTGTTATTATTGTTGTTATTAAATCTGGAGTTTGAGAGTATTAAGTCACAAGTGTTTATTATTATTGTTATTTTTGTTGTTATTTTTGTTATTATTATTATTATTATCATCATCATCATCATTATTATTGATATTGTTGTTGTTATTATTATTATTATTATTTTCATTATTGTTATTATTATTATTATTATTTAATTTATTATTATTATTATTATTATTATTATTATTATCATTAAAGGGAATAAATATGCTTTCCATTGCTATATGGTTTCAAAATCTGTTTTTTAAGTAATAAGTGTGTGTATCAAATCATAAATTTTTATTATTATTGATATTATTGATATTATTATTGTTATTATTATTATTATTATTTATTAATATTATTATTATTATTATTATTATTATTATTATTAAAATGATTAAATATACTTTCCATTGCTGTATGATTTCAAAATCTGTTTTAAGTTATAAGTGTGTGTATTAAGTCATAATTTTTTATTATTATTGATATTATTGTTATTATTATTATTATTATTATTATTTATTAATATTATTATTAAATTTATTAATATTATTATTTAATTTAATATTATTATTATTATTATTATTATTAAAATGAATACATATTCTTTCCATTGCTGTATGTTTTAAAAATCTGTTTTTTAAAGTAATAAGTGTGTGTATTAAGTCTTAATTTTTTATTATTATTGATATTATTGTTATTATTGATATTATTATTATTATTAATGTCCATTGCTGAAAAATATACCCATGAAACATATGACTGGTTTTGTAGTCCAGTGTCATTATTTATTAGGATGCCATATATATTTGAGATGAAATCCTCTCAGTGTGTTGTTTAAATCTCATAAAAACATATTCATTGTGTATCAAACATAAGCATAAACAGTTTCATCTGCGAGAAAATCAGCTCCTATTTTCAATAAACCCTTGCAAAGTTTTGTCAAAATATTTTTTTCCTCATAGTTATGAAAATATCATCTGCTGCGGGCAAAACTGTGCTATGAATTGGCAGGTAGATGAGGTTAAGAAATATCTGCTTAACTGTGTAATTTGTGACATGACAGTGCAATGCTATTTGACAGGAACTGTCAACATGCCCAATCCTGGCCAAAGCCCTGTATTTAAAGGGATAGTACACGCAAAAATGAAAATGTGATCATCCTTGAGTTGTTTCAAACTAGTTCTGCATGATGTTAGAAAAATTAGACATTGCGATATTTTGTATTTCTGCAATATGTATTGCGATCAGGGGTGAATTTAGGGATTTGAGGGCCCTAAGCAATTTCAGTCCTAAAATGCACCCTTTGTACTTTTATTCATTCAAAAAAAAAAACATTTCTTATATCACTCAATCTCCTTGTTTTATCTTAATGCAATATCTACATTTTATATTTTTTGTGAAAAATTAATAATTTGTATGTTATAATAAAATTTGATGTGATAGTAAACTATGTTATAGTTATAATCTAAACTTCTAGATATTTATTGGGGGTCCCAAAATTTCCCCAAAAAGCGGCGGCTCACTACGTTTATTGGTTAAATTAACCTCAGTTTGCGATTTATAAATACGATTTCACCAGATGAATATTCCTATTTAAAACAACGTATTTATTTTCAATCGATTGGCATGCTTTTGTAGGGAACAAATCATGCATGAAATGTAATATGCAAATGTCCGAGTAAAATAAACAGTGTTTTATGGTTTTTGGTGTATAGTCAAATCGCATTTCATAGTGTATGTGTGTGAATGCATAGTGTATGAGTGTTTCCCAGTACTGGGTTGCAGCTGGAAGGGCATCCGCTGTGCAAAAAATATGCTGGATAAGTTGGTGGTTCATTCTGCTGTGGCGATACCTGATGAACAAAGGGACTACACTGAAGGAAAATAAATGAATGAATGAATGAATAAATATTGTGTCTGAATGCTCTTCACGGTTAAAACATGCAAAAATGAACAACACAAATGTCAACAAATGTCGTGTGTTTTGAACTGTGGCTATAAAATTTCACACACACACACACACACACACACATATATATATATATATATATATATATATATATATATATATATATATATATATATATATATATATATATATATATATATATATATATATATATATATATATATATATATATATATATATACATATACAAGGGAATAATTATTGTTATCGTTCAGCCCTACAGTCAGTACTTCTGTCCTGAATGAATCAGGTATTTTAAACAAATCATTTGAACAAATAACTTGATAATTGGTTCAAGTTCCCTCCATGTATTAGCAGACAGATATATCTATGACAAGACTAAAGCTGTCAAACAATTAAAAAATCACTCAGCAAAATATCGTTTAATTTGAACGATATTAATCAGTTAGTTACAATAGAATATACCAGAAAAAATTGCACCAGACTTTAATGAAGTTGTTTAAATAAACCAAACCTGCCCAATTTAAACACAATACTTATGGTCAATGAAAAGCCTGTCATCATTCACTAATGTTTGGGTCGTTTGCTTATTTATTAAAAATCTCATTCAATATTCAAGATGTCCTCCCTACAGTTTGTAGCATGGTGGTGTACTGTACTAGATCAGGTCCAGTATGTAGTGGAAATCGGGTTTAAGGTTAGGATTGGTGGGGTGTAGACATTAATGACTGTGAGGGTTGGGTTTAGGTTTGAAGTAGGTGTAATTGTTAATAACACACAATGTAATAGGTAATTTAATAATTAATAGTATGTAATTCTCGTTTCTAGCAACAAACACCCATGCATACACATCCACTACGTATTGGACCTGATCCAATATGTCATCGTGCTACAGGCTGCAGCTAGGATACACTCAGAATATCGCTTTAGATTTAGTATGCACAGAACCATGTGTTGGACTAAATTTGTC